AGTTGAAACGAGTCTCTTTTTGTTTGTCATAGTAATGTGACGATCACGCCAGACCCCGTTTAGTTCACTCATTGCTGCTCTTGCTAGTTGAATGCGTCTTCTAATTTCGGATTCACAACTGCCTGTGTTGTTAACTAGAGCTCCAAGATATATCATAGATGAGACTACCTCGCATCCCGCAATAGTTTGGGTTTCAGGAAACTGTTGTTGGCGATCAATAACCATGATTTTGGTTTTGTTGTAGTTAACCATGAGTCCAAATTTAGCACTTTCTACCTCGAGTTTTTTTAATAATTTAGTAATTTCTTCTGGAGTAGAGGCTAGAAGTGTAGTGTCGTCTGCGAAACGCAAGTTAGATATCTTAACACCACCTAGGTTTACTCCTCCCTCCCAACCATCCAAAACTCTGCGCATTATGAACTCCGAATAGATGTTAAATAATAAGGGAGATAAAACGCATCCTTGGCGTACTCCCTTCTCCAAAGTGCATTTGTCAGACAGATATCCGTCCATTCGAATATATGCCAGGTTATCTTGATACAGTTTGCTAATAAGGTGAGTCAAGTGTTTAGGTACACCCATTGTCGTCAATATGTTCCATAGTTTGTCCCATCTAACATTATCAAAGGCCTTTGTATAATCGACGAAACATATAAATATCGGGATCTGGTATTCTCTGGCTTTTTCTATGATGTTTCGTACATTAAGGATTTGTTCTCTAGTACCTCTGCCCTTTACAAATCCAGCCTGCTCAGGTGCTATTTGCCAACTTATGAAGTTTTCTAGACGCCGTTGCAGTATGTAGAGGATCACCTTACTGGCGTGTGATATTAGAGCTAATAGCCTGTAGTTGTTACAATTATTTGTTGAACCTTTCTTATGAAGAGGTATGATTATGGTCTTTCTCCAATCCTCAGGCCAGACGCCTGTGTGCCATATTTCATTGCACAATCGATGTAATATTTTCACTCCACATTCCGGAAGATGCTTCAAGACGTCTGCAGTAATGAGATCATATCCTGCTGCTTTGTTTAACTTAAGTCTTTTTAAAGCGAATTCCACCTCGGAAAAAAGTATGTCAGGTTCAGACTCAAAACTAGTGTGGTGTGTCTCTGTTGAAGGAGAATGGAAAGTGGAGGTCTGGCAGTCAGGTACAAACGGGGCGTCCGCTGGCATCTGGTCCGTATTGGCGTATAAAGACTTACAATACGCCCTCCAAACATCAATAACCTTGTCCAAATCCGTCTGTACATTACCTTCATCATCTTTGATAGACCAAGATTTCTGCTTGAATTTACGTGTGAGTTGTCTGACTTTATCAAAGAGTTCTTTGGTGTTATTTGTGTCGGCGTGTAGTTGAATTTCTCTGCAGATTTTCTCTATATGCTTGTTTTTGTCTCGTCTACAAGCAGCCTGAATAGCTCTAGATAGCTGTCGGTACTGGGAATTCCTGAGAGGGTTCTCGATTCCAGCAATTTTAAGTTTTCTACGTTCTTCAACGAGGTCAAAAGTATCTGCAGACATCCACACTTTTTTTGGTCCGGTTGAGACGGCATTAGACTGTGCCTCGCAGTCAGTCAAGGTCTGTATCAAGGTATTTTTAAAAGATAACCAAATCTTTTCGGAATCATGAGTGACGATAGTTGGTAAAATATTTTCGAATCTTTCATTACATTGGATTTTAAATTGTTGTGTATCTTTTATTTTTGATATCCTCTTGTTTCGGATCCTAGCACATGCCTTGAATTTTTGCTTTAGCGTTGCAACAAGAAGTTGGTGGTCAGAGCCGCAGTCAGCGCTAGGTCGTGTTTTACATTGGCTAATAGATGTTTTCCAGCGATGTTTAATCATTATGTAATCGATCTGATTTCGGTGTCGTCCGTTAGGTGAGATCCAAGTGTACAATCTTCTGGGGTGGTGCCTATACATAGAGTTCATTATTGTCAAGTCATTGTCAACGCAGAACTGGATAAGGCGGTCTCCCCTTGAATTGCGTTCACCTATTCCATATCTACCCACAATATTTCGTATATGTTCGTCAGCCATAGTAACACCGATTTTTGAGTTTAAATCACCCATGATGATAGCGATTTCTTTATTTGGGATATTTTGCAGATATGATTCCAGCTCGTTGAAAAAATATTCAGTTGTATCATCATCAGCAGTTGAGGTAGGCACATAGACCTGAATCAAATGTACAATAGAGGGAGATCCATTTAGTTTTAAGGAAATTATACGATCACTGATAGCTTGATATCCCAGTATATAGGGAGAAAGAGATTTTGAAACCCAGAAGCCAACACCATTGATACTTTTGTTAGTGTTGCCGGAAAAGCACATGAAATGTCCCAAATTAGTTATGTAGTGCCCCTCGTTGCGGAAGTGAAGAAATAACATAGTAGTGACAAAACAATAGTGGACAATGATAATAGTGGACAAAACAATTTTAAATTGTGGAGTTCGATCCTGAATGAGCCACCGAAAGTCGTGTGTTTATTTTGGTTTCAATTAATTTGCAAATTTTGTGCAGCAATTATTAACAGTTTATTTATCAATAGTTAAGTCACAATTGATGAAATATCAGAAAGTGAACACATCATATTATTTTTGATTACTCTAACGTGATAAACCAGTGTTTCGTTGAATTGTAATTCAACAACCATTAAAAAGGTACATTTATTCCAGCTTCATTACCTGTTTAATTACTGGTCAGGTCCGTATTATTTTTGAACACATGTCTCGTGTTAAAATAAAAAATGAAACCTAATAATCAGTATCTCTAACACTCCACGTTTATAGCAATTGCAGACATCATCATCAGTGGTGCTACAGCTCTAGTTGAGCCTTGACCTTCCCCAGTCTATTTCGCCAGTCGTTTCTGTTCATCGCCAACCGTTGCCAATTTGCCGCGCCGATCTTCCTTGCGTCCTCGTCCACACCGTCCCTCCATCTCAGTCGTGGTCTGCCTCTACTCCTATTTCCCACTGGGACCGATAATAGAGTTCGTCTGGGTGGGTAATTTTCATTTGCTCTTGACACATGTCCAGCCCATCTAAGCCTACCTATTTTTATGAAGGATATTACATCTCTACCATTTACTATTTTTTTATACTTCTCGTACAATTCGAAATTATATCGCCTTCTCCAAATACCATTCTCACAGAATGCGCCCATTATTCTTCTTAGTATCTTCCTTTCGAAGACGAGCAGAAGATTTGCGTCTGTTTTGGAGATGGTCCATGTTTCTGACCCATATGTCAGCACTGGTAGGATGAGTGTTCGATATATTATTAGTTTGGTTTTCTGGCTTAAATTTCTGTTTTTTAGCTGCTTGCTTAGTCCAAAATAACATTTGTTTGCTAGCAGTACCCTCCGTTTAACTTCTTCAGATGTGTCATTATCGTTTGTTATGAGAGAACCCAAATATGTAAACTTATTTACTACCTCAAAATTATATTGGTCTATACTGAAGTTTTGTTCGGCGTTTCTAGCTCTATCTCTGTTATTTGGAATAGATGCTAACATTTTGGTTTTTTCCTCGTTTATTTTAAGGCCCATATTTTGTGCGGCTGTCAAGAAGGCGGAAGTCATCTCTTTAAGTCCTCGTGTAGTACGTGCAATCAAATCCAGATCGTCAGCGTAAGCCATAATCTGCGTTGATTTATTAAAGATTGTTCCCCTATTGTGTAACTCGGCATCTCTTATAGTCTTTTCTAACGCTATATTAAAGAGAAGGCACGCCAGCGCGTCTCCCTGCCGTAACCCTGCATATGTTTCAAACGCTTGTGACATATCGCCTTGTATTTGCACTCTGCAGATCACTTTACTCATAGTTGTTTTTACGAGCCTTATTAATTTATGGGGAATGTTAAGTTCATTCATGGCTTCGTATAATTTACCTCTTAGGACGCTATCATACGCTGACTTAAAGTCCACAAAGAGATGGAACGTGTCAATATTAAATTCATTGGTTTTTTCTAAGATTTGACGTAGCACAAAAATCTGGTCGATTGTTGACCTACCTGGCCTAAAACCGCTTTGATACTCACCAAGGATTTCTTCCACGTACGTACTTAAACGGCTGTACAGGGTATTGGAGAATATTTTGTACATTGTATTCAGAAGAGTTATACCCCTATAATTTTTACATTCCAACAAATCTCCCTTTTTGTGTAGTGGACATATGATTCCAGTGCACCATTCCTCTGGCATTTGTTCTTCTTCCCAGACTTTGACTATTATGTTGTGAATTTGGTGCATAATGCTGTTACCTCCATGTTTGATGAGCTCTGCGGGGATACAATCCACTCCTGGGGACTTGCTATTTTTGAGTCGTGTGATTGCGTCTTTCACTTCAAATGTTGAAGGAGGTTCTACGTGAGTGTTATTTCTTGGTCTTTGGGGTGACGCATCATTTTCCACTTCGGTACCAAGTAGTTCTTTGAAGTGCTCAACCCATCTGCTTTGTACTGCGTCAGCGGTACTGACTATATGTCCATTTTTTGTCTCTACACAGCAATTGCAGACAAATACTAATAAAAGTACAGATTGCTTCGTGTAAGAGTAGTAACAACGACTATTCGAAAAAACAGGAGGAAGAAAATCAAATAGTATAAGCAATTTATTGGGCACTAATTTTTGAGCGGATAATATTTAAAATTTTTCAAAATCTATAGGAATATTCCATAAAATTTAATTTTGTAATTCTCTAGCCGCCGCAATAACCGTTATGGTGGATATGGCTGTATTTTCTAAATAAAAAAAATTCAATTGTAAAAATAAAAAGAGAGCATCTCAAAATATTTATCTATGAATTAATTATTCATTCTATTTGCTTTACTACAGTTTAAATACTTCTCTTAGAATTGGTCTTACAAATGGATCAATTTACTAATAATAAAAAAATATGGAATTAAGACAAATTCAGTTATGAATGTTAACGATGGTAACAAAATAGAACAGGAAACTATTCTATTATGGTGCAAGGAATTTTATTTTACCTGTCCACATTGTTGTCCCGTTAATGGAAGCTCCAGGTCATGCCACACTTCCTTTAAATCTCGAACTAACGTGTCCATCAATTCTTTGGAATGATGCGGTGTGGGTGCTAATCTCAACTTCTCCTCTCCTCTAGCGACGGTAGGATAGTTGATGGCTTGAATGTAGTGACCCTTTTCTTTCAGTAAGGTATCACAAACGGCGCCGCATTGTAGAGGGTTTCCGATTTTTATTGGGATGATATGACTGGGGGTGTGCTCCACAGGAAACCGTTCTCTAACAATGAGTTTCTGAGGTATTTGACGTTGGCTGGTGTTGGTCTCTTAGTTGTCTTCCTTCATCCGACGCCAAGATTTCAATAGATTTACATGCTCCTGCCAGAACTGTCGGTGGTAACGATGTCGTGAATATAAAGCCTGCTGCGTAGGATCTCACCATATCGATCAAAGCAGAGGTACTAGCTAAAAGAAGAAATTACCAAAATTTAATAAAAAATTCGCAGATAATAACTCAGTGTGTTACAACTTGACTTTGCACCAATTCTCTCATTTAGAAAAACTTACCAACATAACCACCAACGTTTCCAAAAGCCTTGCCCAGTGTTCCCGATATCATATCCATTTTGTGCATCACGTGATCTCTTTCTCCAATTCCAGCGCCATGCTCGCCGTATAAACCAACCGCATGGACTTCATCCACGAATGTTAACGCTCCATATTTATGGGAAATATCACAAAGTTCCTAAAATATTCAAATATGAGTCCTTCAAAGAATCTTTATCTTCCTATATCTATAAATATCCAAATAAGTGTGCTGTTGGGTGTAGCGTTTACGCTACTGATTAACCCCTTAAGAAATGTCTTATTACCTGCCTACATCGATTTTAAATCGACATTTTCCCCACCACGCGCAGTTAGTCGCTTTGAAAGGAATGATCGATTTTATGCGGAAGCGGAACGATCAGTTTTGGTCAGAACTCAACGCAGCCACGTCAACCGGTGAAATTTTTCACCTTCAAAGTGACGGAATTGGAGCAAGGAAGATAATTTGGGGAAGAATAAATAATTCATAAATAAAATACATATCTTATAATAATAATAAGTAAATTTTTAAAATCAATAAATCTAAAGAGTTCCACATAAAAGGAAGATTTTTTTGGCGTGCTGCGACTCCATGTAAGTAAATCATTTCATACGTATTATCTCTTTATCATATAATCAAATTTATCATTGTATTTAGTATTTCTTTAGAGATTAATTTTTGAGTTCCGAAATAATTTAAATATAAAATTTCCTTGATTTACTTGCAAAGAACAGAAGGTCATTTTTTTTATATAGTTAAACTTAAATTCTGTTTTAGTCCATGTCGTTATCGTTAAGTTTTTTTTGGTTTTTTTTTTACTCTAACTTTTTTGGTGGAATATAAAAGGTTCGACAAATATTGGACAGCCTTCTATATTCTGCGCATGTTCTTTTCATGGCGCAAGCCTGTCATGTCTACGAAGTAAATTCGGAAGTTCTGACATGTTGACATAACCTAATGTTTTGATGTTTTGTTTTGGTGCAGTCAATCCATGCTGCTACACTTTAATATTACATATTTATTAAATTAAATAATCATTTTAGATTCCGTCACTTCACTTGAGATATTCTCTTCAGAATATTCCCTCAAGGATATTAGTAACTTTGAATCCTTAAATAGTTAGTAACCCGTGGATTTTGCTGTCACCCAGAGACCAGTGACTGGTTGTGGCTTTTGTGCCCAGGATTCGTCTTTACAGTCATAAACTGATGTAGCAGTGCCAAGAGGAGTTTTTCCTAGGACTTATGGGGCTGTAAAGATAAGTTGTTTGACGGTGTAATTTTTTTTTTTGTTACTATCTATTTTACTGTTAAACTCATCATATGCATATGATAAGGTGAATACCTTTATGATAATTTAATTTTTGATATAATCTAATTCTAAAATATTGGGGAGAAGAAAATACATTACATGTTTTTATTGGGTTTTTAAATAGGATATACAGAGTCTGACCAAACTCACTTTTTTTGATATAATATTTTTGTTAATACAATACATTTGATATAATACAATTTGATATTGAGAGAGGGACATAAATTTAATGTGGTTTTTTTTTAAATATGATATAATGAGTATGGAACAACTCACTTTTTGGATGTAATATATTTAATAGAATTGTAACAGATTTATCAAGTTTGATATCTTTACAATATTCTAATTTGTATCTCATTTTAGTCGAACTAGTTAAATTTAAATTACTACCTTTTTGTGTTAAGACTTTGGCTATGATACGGACTATTCTTGAATTTTTACTGATATTTTATACTTTATTTGGCCAGTGGTAGTGATTATTCGTTTGTTGAGGGGCTATTAGGTCCCATTGTATCTGTACACCATCCACTACCACTGTTATTTGGCTTTGCATTATATGTAAATTGTTTATACACATATACCTATATACATTTTTTATAAATATATTTATTGTTGCTATTTTGAGTTTTATTTCAGTTCTACTAACCAGTATATAACATAGCAAAACAAGATTATTATTTAGTATTTTTGTATTTCAGAGTATTATCTCCAGATTCATTTGTTACTTCAAAATCTCAACTATCGTTGAGTTGGCGCCCTTCTTTTCTCTTCTTATTGTTCTCTTTCTATAAATTTATTCCCAGTGACCTTCTTCAGTTGTATCACGTTTGATATTACCAGGTCTCATTTCTTTCTTGTCTCATTAGCTCATTATCTCTTGTTATTGTTGTTTATATCTTTAAAGCCACAATCCAGTGCATTGAAGCTAGCCCGAACACTCACTTGAGATTTAGTGTCTCTTTGGCCATTTAAATTTGTTCCTCTGAGCTTAGCCATATTTTTAGTATTTTCATCACCTCTCTTCCAGTTCTTCTGGAATTTGGAAGTCCTACACTTCCAAAAACCCAATACTCCCGGAGTATTGAGCGTTTCATGGGATCGAGGGATGTGTTTCTAATCAGCGTAGAGCTGAGCGGGGAAAGAATGTTTTGCATGGAGTCTTAGGACTTTGCACCTCCTCAAATCCTCCCAAAACCGCTGATTGTAATCGCGGGTGTGTAATCTTTGATTAAACCCCTTCACAAGGTGGCCTATTGAAACTGAACCCAGCATATCTAGACTGGAGATAGTCGATAAACGATCCAATAAGTCGTGAGACACCCGTGGTGAAGGATATAAGGCAATAGGGTGACAGTGTCTCAAACGGTTCCATTGGGGCAACAGTTCGCACCCCCATCGTATTTAGAGCTTACCCTCGCAAGCAGGCTTGCGAGAGGTAGATTGTCTTTCCCTAACTATTCGTTGGACCAATTTGGTGAACAAACGGGAAAAAGAAAAGGCGCAGGACCAAAGAGTTTAGCCCCAAAACCACGGTACCTAAAGCCCAATGACGAGGAACTTTCAGAGAAAATCCGAACGCCGAAAGACCAGGAAGTTCTGAAGAAATCTCCCAAACTGAAAGGCAAGGAACCACGAAGTAACGTTAAAGTAACAGCGTTGGAATACGTTGAGGTTGTGACTTTCAGCGAAGCTGCCGCTTCTGTTAAGGTTGCGGCAGTACTAACAGGATTCCCAGAAGCCAAGATGGATGTGAATAAGCTTTAACGCAGTCCAGAAAACCATCTTGGTGGCTTATGAAGAAATTTCGAAAGCAGGACCTCAGGTTCGCTTCCTGAAGATTATCCACAGCCCGGTTTCGTAGAACTGAACTGTGCGAATGACACAAGTGCGAGGTGGTTGAAAAAGCGATTCTGAGAATCCCCTAAGGCCTTGGGAGAGTGCATCTCTCAGGACTTTGGAGAAGGAAGATATACTCAAGCCGCGCTCATGCACTGTCTTCGTACAGAATGAAGATGGGAACATTTTAAGTTCAAAAGGATCCTTAATAAACTGAGAATAAGTAACCATGAGCTCAGGCACATCTGTGGACAGTCTGGGGTAGCAAACCTTCAGACAAAGGAGTTTTATTGACCACAATAGATTCTGAATCTCGAGAATAGCACCAGAAACTACAAATGTCACCCTTTTTCGGAGTGGAAAAGTTAACTTTCCGATCCAAGTAACGGTAGACACAAACGCTGGAAGAAACATCACTGGCAACTCGCTCGTATGAAACAGAAGAAACTCCCTTCGTATACATATGGAGGTTCAAGAAAAAGAACAACCTTATTCAGATGGAACCAGCCCACTCGTAAGGACTACTGCCCAAGAGGTATTGGACCAACAGAAGACGGAACGTCCGCTGTGTTACAAGTAGGTAGCTCACAAATCTCTGAAATAATAGAGGAAGTCACCAGGACAAAGAACAGGCGAAACAATGAATTACAAAACATTTGCCAAAAATTTACGGCAAACCTAATAAGCAAAGCCATCAAAGCCATAGTAGATCTGCTAATAGGGCAGTTGTTATATAAATGTTGAACAGGCAGTTGAAGCCGATGGGATTCGCAGATGATGAATTATGCAGATTCTGTCACACAGAAGAAGAAATAGCAGGGCACATTTTATGTCAATATGACAGCAGGAACATGTGCAGTTTTTGGTATTAGGCGAAGAAAAGCCACCGCCAAAGAGCTACTTAGAAGCTCTAGTGCTGTTTTAATTTAAAATCATTTTTGGAAGAGGGATCAGTCCGTTCTTAGTTTTATTATTTTTTTTAACTACATTTGTAAAATGTTTTAATTAGAAGAAAATTTTAACCAACCAAAGAGTTCTACACGCAACCAATAGAGAGTTCTACACGCAAATTGTATCTGTTTTCTTGACAAATATACCTCCCAATCAATAAGTCACCAGTGAGTCAAGACTGCTTCAAAACATAAAAGAAATATCCAGATAATAACGTTACAAACAATTATGACAATATTTTAACAAATATCACACTATGAAAATCTATAATTATAATAAATCTAATTCTGTTTAATTGTATATACTAAAATATATTTACCTCCAGTGGACAAACAGCTCCTGACATGGAATGCACAGTTTCAAATGCTACAATTTTGGGAACGCTTCGATCAACTCCTTGGAGTAGTTCTTCTAAATGTGCTGGATCATTGTGCCTGAATATATGCTTAGGAACACGGCTATTCCTGATCCCTTGAATCATAGATGCGTGATTTCCAGCGTCAGAAAATATATGACAACCTAAAAATTAAAATAAAAATATAAAAAAATGGCTGTCAGTATTTTTTGATGAAAAGTACGTACTATATCAAATTCTGACCTCTTATGTATTCTGTGTTGGATGTTTGTATGAAAAAAAATGTATCCTAGTTGTGGTTGAAAAACGTAAATTGACAAAAAATTAAATGTCGTTTTGTGCGTATTGGGTGTTGCATAATATGCGTTGTGTGTAAGATTGTAGATTATGTTTTGTCGACCTATTATTACTCCGCTATTATTGGTATATTCTTATTGTTGACTTCTTCTTTTAGAATTGGCCCCCAATCTACATTCTGTTGATGGGTTTGCTACACATTTTTCTTCGTTGAATTGGATGAGGGCTACTTCTTTGACTTTTCTCTTTTTTATATCTGTTTTTTCCATGATTATCGATTTATCTTTCCATTGTGGTCTGTGCTCGTCATCCCATGCATGTTTGCATATCTGAGATTTCTCGAAGTCCCTGTTTTTGATGTATGTTTCATGCTCGTTTATTCTGATATTTAATGATCTCGTGGTTTCTCCTACATCGAAATTGTTGCATTCACAAGGTATGTTATAGATGCAGTTTTTTATCTTTCTTGTGTGTTGTTGGGTTTCAATCTTTGACTATTCTCTTTTTCAAGTCGGTTTTCTCCATGATTATTGATTCATCTTTCCATTATGGTCTGTGCTTATGATCCCAGGCATGTTTGCATATCTGGATTTCTCGAGTCCCTGTTTTTGATGTATGTTTCATGCTCGTTTGTCCTGATATTTAATGGTCTAGCGGTTTCTCCCACGTAGAAATTATTGCATTCAGAAGGTGTGTTATATATGCCGTTTTTTATCTTTCTTGTATGTCGTTGGGTATGGATTTGAACCTCAGTGTGTTGGTTGTTTTGAATGTTGTGATATTTTACTTGTTTCCTATTTTCTTCAGCTTTTATGATAAGCCCTTTACATATGGTATTGTTGTCATCTTTGAGTCCCTTCTTGTGAATGTTTCTGGATTGCTCTTGGTGTTGTGTTGTTTTCTTTCTTCAATTTTGTGGAATTCCTTGCTTATAAATGACAGTAGTAGTCATTTTTAGTCAGAACCTTTGTTAGCAGGTTTTTCTCTTTTCTAGAATCTTGATAATGAAGTAATTTTGGTAAAAGAAATATCTGATGATAATTTTGATCGAAGAATATAATTGCTCTTAACTAAATAAAAAAATGTATTTACCTGGTAAAGCTTTAGCCAAAGTGTATAAAGTTGAGTCATTAGCGACAAAGCACGAAGTAAACAACAAGGCAGCATCTTTATTGTGTAGCTCAGCAAGATTAGACTCTAACTTTTCATGCAGAGTAGAATTGCCTGAAATGTTACGAGTACCTCCTGCTCCAGTTCCGTATTTTTCCAGTGCATCTCTAAAAAACGTAAGACCTATGTAAGAAACAGATCACGTGTATCTTTAAATTATTTTAACAAATTTCTAGCGATCACTAGAATGCATTAATGTTAATATTAAAAGAAATATACCAACCGTACAGCAGCTTTTACTTCAGGATGAGACGACATTCCTAAATAATCATTGGAACACCAGACAGTTATTGGTGCCTGTCCCCATGAATGTTCCACAGCTTTTGGAAATTCTCCCGGTCCGGCCAACCGATTGACTTTCTTAAAAACTCTGTAGGAATGTTCCTTCTTCTTCTTCATGATTTGTTGATGGAAGAACTGATCATAGGCAAACACGTCATCTAAAAATAGAGTAATCTTAAGTTTTCAGTAAAATTTCCCTAAATCGTATTTTTTATAGATATTTTAGGCTGTGGTAAACTGAATTATAATTTTTGTTGTATTATATTTCCAATATACTTTCAATAAAAAAAATTATAAACATCAGAAAAACCCGCTGACTTCGTTTAGATATACACACTTATTAATCAGTTTCATATCGGTCCTTTTTTATCGTTTACTGGATTATTCTTGTTGATCAAATGTTTTCTGATAAACTATTCATGAATAAAACTAGGAAATATAACTTGCTGAATGGTCATTATAAGTTTCGTTAGACTGATTTATAAATAGGATACTGGTAAAATACTTAGCGTTATCAAAATGGGCAGTATTTCAGCATTCAGTTAAATGTGAATATGTGCGTAAGTCGTATTTTTTTTTAATTCCACATTTGTATATTTCGATTTGCATAAAAAGTTTTGTATTTTTCATATTTAGGAAAATTTTTACGCGATAACTAATATTTTAACGCAATGGTTCTCAACTTAGGGGATTTATAAATAGGATACTGGTAAAATACTTAGCGTTATCAAAATGGGCAGTATTTCAGCATTCAGTTAAATGTGAATATGTGCGTAAGTCGTATTTTTTTTTAATTCCACATTTGTATATTTCGATTTGCATAAAAAGTTTTGTATTTTCATATTTAGGAAAATTTTTACGCGATAACTAATATTTTAACGCAATGGTTCTCAACTTAGGGGGCGCCCCCCCCTGGGAAGGGGGCGTGAGAGAATTTCAGAAGAGGCGTGAGGTATAAAGAAAAAAAAAATTAAATTAAAAAATATATGTTTTAAAGACAAGAAACCACATACTCACTAGTTAAACCTTGTTTACTTAATGCTTGTAGTACCGTACTTAGTGAAGACAGTTGTAAGAAAGTAAAAAAAATCTCTCTCAAACGACACGTTAAAACGTAGAATTGATGACATGGCTTTGGATTTGAAAAATCAACTATTGCAAAAATTAAAAGGTTCACCTTTTTTTTCTTTGTAGTGTGACGAAACAACTGATATTTCAAAGCATGCACAGTTATTGTTTTACTGTCGATTTAGTGACAGAAAACGGTTCCTGGAGGAAATATTTTTTTTTATTAAAAAGAAAACATTACCGCATCCACCAACAGGTTATTAGCAGCGTTACTCAGTAAACAAAACTTTAAATCTGATGCAAAATATTGATTGACCTTAGGTAATTTAATAAGTTGTTTACGGGACAGTTTTCTCCTAATAAATCTGGTAGAGTATTTGGTATATTGTTTATTAAACGTTCTCTATGGAATTTTGGACATTCAATTAACAAATGCACGACGGTAAGAGGTGTAGCACATAGGAGAAAATATTGTTTTCAACATCTCTTGAAATATCAACTAAAGCCATTGACATATTTTCTGCTCTTGAAGATTTTTAGTAATCAATGAACTTGGGAGAAAGTAATTGGGATATGTACTGATGGGCCCAAGCCATGATAGGATGTCAATCTGAATTTATGGAATTGGCAAAAAAGAAGGACCCTAGGATAATTGGTTCTCACTGTATCATTCACAGACAACCTTTAGCTAGTCAGACTTTACCCGAACCTCTCAACGTCACATTAAACTTAGCAATTAAAATAGTGAATCATATCAAATCCAGCGCATTAAACACTAGGCTCTTTCAGACACTATGTCAAGAACTGAATAGTGATCAGGAAACCCTCCTGTTTCATACAGAAGTACGGTGGTTATCCAAAGGAAATATACTTGCAAGATTATTCAATTTAAAGTCAGAAGTTGAAATTTTGTCAGAAGTTGAAAAAGGTTGGGAACCACTGGTTTAAACTAAAGAAATATCGTTCCATAAGCGAGGAATAAATTTTAATGTATTTAAATGGAAAATAAAATTATAAAGTATAAATAGGCTACTAGTATTTTTTGGATAAAGAGATCCTTTCTCGGGGTTAAGAACCTTTACAATAAATAAAACATCATGTCACAACCGATGAATGAATTGCTGTTGAATAGAATTCATAAGTTAAGCATTTTAAAAAATTATTTTTTAAGATTATTTACATCATAAGCCGTGGTTTCTAAGGGTTGAAAATTTGTATTGAAGTACAAGTTATCATTGAATATGTGTATTTTACTTAATTCAATCAGATTTTATTGCATAAAACGCTTAAATACGTATTTTCCTTTCTTTTCCACTTAGGGGTAGTTTAACCCCTTAAAAACAAAAAGCACACTTCGCCCATATATAACTTTTGCAAAGGAGGGTAAGAAAAGCTTAAATTCAAAATTTTAGCTACATATATGCAGTCCGACAGAATTGGAAGGTAAGGTCCTATTTTCCACCCACGTTACTGGACTACTAGAATGAAGGTACTATTTACTATGAATGAAGGTAGGAATAAGTTATTGTTAAGTTACTATTAGAAAAACTGTACATACAATATCTATTAAAAGTGAGATCTAAAAGTTTATCTGTTAGTGAAAGTAAATTCCATTCAACATTTTGCAATCCCGTCCTTATGGTATGATTAAACTTTTGGTACAAGGTTATATCTGAATAAAGTAAAAGTATCGGTATTGATACCATTAATTCTATGCTAGTTTGTAGACATTTACACAAGGTTTTTTATGTGTATTTATATGTAGTATATTACTAACAATTCTGACAGAAATTTAATAAACACATCCTTCCGGAAATCTACCACATCTATAAATTCCAAAAACACCTGAAAATATTTATGACAAAATATTTGTCAACGATTTCCATGTTTATCAAAGAATTGTGGTATCCCAAACCACGAACAAATAATTACGTGGACAGTGATCAAAAACATCAACAATTTTTATATAAATGTAACATTTTCGCTGGTAATTATGACCAAGCAATTTATTTTATATTTTATTTTAGTTTTGGTGATAAAGCAATTTTTTTAATATCATTAATAATGTGTTGAAGTATTATTTGTTTAATTATCAACAAGTAACTGATAATACATTTTTTTACTATTTTTTATTTCATTTACAGCACCAATTTACTATATGCCATAAAAACATCGAAATATTTTTATCTACTTTTAATAATTCTTATCTGTTAAAGCTAATAATAACTTTATGACAGATCATGTTTCTCAAAGATTATCGGACCGCTTCTTACACAGATAAATTCGTATAATCTTCTATAATTCTTCTTTGTTTTCAATAATTACACATACACACAGACATTTTTTGATAAAGGTATTTAACAACTGCTTTTGATAAATTTGGTTGTCAAAATAGAAGGAACTAAAAAGATTAATTAACAATATAATAAAACAGGCAAAACAAACGGGCTTATAATAAACAAGGAAAAGACAAAAGACATGATAATGGGAAAAACAGATAACGAAGACAACTTGAGCTGTTATTGTTTTCCATTTCTTCCTATTAGTAGCCTTGTCCTTCCATCTTTCTATTCCCAGTGTTTCTAGGTCTTTCTCTACTTCTTGCTTCCATCTACTTCTCGGCCTTCCTCTCCTTTTTTTGTACCCATTGTATGCATCAGAATCATTTTTGGTACTCGAGAATTTGTCATTCTTTCTATGTGCCCTAGCCACCTGAGTCTCTGAGCCTTTACTACTCCCACTATACTAGGATTCTTGTACATATCTTCTAATTCTTTATTTGTTCTTCTTTTCCATGTATTGTCTACTATCTTGCCTCCAAATATCTTTCTCAAAACCTTCCTTTCCCATATTTCGAGCATACCTGTTTCGCCTTTGTTCAGTGTCCACACTTCACTGGCGTAGGTTACCACTGGTTGTATAACTGTTTTGTAAATCCTTATTTTGGCATTCCTAGATATCTGTTTACTTTTTAATAGCCTGTTTAATGAGTACACGCATCGGTTTCCTGCCATTATTCTTGATTGGAGCTCCTCTCTAATATTTGGTTTGCATGTGAACATCGACCCCAGGTATGTAAATCTTTCCACTGCTTCAAATATATATGCTTTTTCACCCTCTACTTCTATTTTTAGATTTCCTCCTTTTTGTTCACTGTCATCTATCCATTCCATGTATTTTGTCTTACTTTCGTTGATGGCTAAGCCTATTTTCTTTGCCTCTCTATCTAGCCTCTTTACTACTTCTTGTAGCTCCCATTTGCTTCGTGCCAGTATTACTACATCGTCAGCAAAGGCTAGACATTGGTGCTTTCTTTGGTATAACAATCCCTCTCTGTTGACATTTGCATCTCGTATGACCTTCTCCAAACACAAGCTGAATAGTATCGATGATAGGGGATCTCCTTGCCTTACTCCTTCACTGACTTCAAATTTTTCCGACATTATATTATTTATTTTAACTCTGCTCTCAGTCTTGGACAACGTTATTTGTATCATTCTTATAAGTTTTCTACTGATACCCAATTCTTCTAGTGCTTTGCTCATTTGGTTCCGTTTTATTCTATCGTACGCTTGTTTGAAATCAATGAAGAGGACCCTTGTCGGCAGATTGTGTTGGTAACTTTCCGCTTGCAATTCTCTGAGCGTAAATATCTGATCTGTTGTACTTCTACCAGGTCTGAAGCCACATTGGTACTCGCCGACAATGTTTTCTATCACTCCTGCCAATTTGTCCTTTATACACGCTGCAAGAATTTTGTATGCAGTATTCAATAGTGATATCCCCCTGTAATTTTGACAATCTGTCCTATCGCCTTTCTTATAAAGTGGGCATATAATTGCATCTGTCCATTCTTGTGGTAGTTGTTCTTTAATCCAAATCTCCTTTATTAATTTGAAACATTTGCTCCTCTAGCGTTTTCCCTCCATATTTGAACATCTCTGCAGTTATATTATCACTTCCTGGACTGTTGTTATTTTTTAATATCTTTATTATTTCCTTTATCTCGTTTCTGGTAGGGGGTGTTTCTTCTGTCTCATTTATTTGGTTCCTAGTTTCTCCGTTCTTATAGGCTGTGGCTGTTCTATCC